GACTATTTTTTTAAATATATCTTTATTGATTTCAGAGAGTAAGGGAGAGAGAGAAAACATCAATGAAAAAAAGAAACATCAATGATGAGAGAGACTCATGGATCGGCTAGAGAGATAGACATCAATGATGCGAGAGAATCATTTATTGCCCATCTCCTGCACGCCCCCCCTGGGGACCAAGCCCACAACCTAGGCATGTGCCCTTGACCAGATTCGAACCTGAGACCCCTCAGTCCGCAGGATGATGCTCTATCCACTGAGCCAAACCAGTCAGGGCAGAACTGGACTATTTTTCAGCAACCCTCCTATCACAAAATGGTAGATTCCATATGGAGTCGGTTTATTTTCTTATTCTTCAGTCCTACTACATTAGAAAACACTAACATACATCTGGTCACTGTCCAAGGAAGGCAGTTTCTGATGACTGTTACTTAGTTCTGAATTTTTGGGTCAAACGTGCATATGACAGTCATAAGTGTGAGAGTAAGTTCTCACCACAGACCTCTCTCAGCAGCACCTTATACCCCAGATCAATGAGCACATTACCGGGAAAGCAGGAAGCCTGGATGTTTGAAAAGTTGGAAAATGATGGTAGTAAATAGATTGCTAGTTCAGTTTGGATTATTTTAGTTTCAGAAAGAACTCCTTTGTATTCTGTTGCAGGAATTGGATGTCCTCTGAAAATATGACCACTCATATACTATTGATTTTTTTCCCCTCTGAGGCCCAAAGAATATAAAGTGTTGGGGGAAAGTCCATCTCTTGGCAATAGAGCTATTTGAACAGCAATCCAATTCTCTTAAAAAATTATTTTATCCAAAAACAATATTTTATAATATGTACATTTCAACCCTTAAATTACCTTATGTTTAATGTGTAAGTTTAGATCATTCAAGCTAATTAATACAGCGATGAACAAAAATTTAAGGAAGCCACTTAAAATCACAGAAATGGTTTTCACTGGGACTTTCAGTACCATAAGTTTTATTTTATTCTCACTCAGGGAAATGTTCATTTATGAGAGAGAGAAAGCGAGAGAGAGGAAGGAACATTAAGGTGAGAGAGAAACATTGGTTGCCTTCCATACATGCCCTAATAAGGAATCAAACCTGCAACCCAGGTATGTGCTCTGACTGGGAATTGTGCCCGAAACATTTTTGGTGTTAAGGGAGAATGCTCCAACCAACTGAGCACACTGGCCAGGGGAGTACCATAAAAATTTTTATTTTAGCTTTCATTCAAAAATGTGTGTGAACTTTCTCTTGTCAGTCAGCACCTCTTATTATGGAAAAGCAGCATTGTGTGTCAGCCCATTTATCTGTCCTGTTCTCTGATATTACTTGCACAGAATAGATGCGATTTAATTACTAATTAGCTTCTTTCGAGCTCCTTCAGCAATAAAACACAAGCAAGATAAGTATCGCCTACTATTATCAGCACTCTGTGAATAAAGCTGTATGTGAATTGGCATTCGACTGAAACGTATTTGTTAATAGATCAATGCCTTTCTTCGTTATATACACAGATGGCCGTATTTCAGTACTGATCTACACAAAACATACAGATTACGGAAAAATAGTTAAGGAGAGAAAACATCTAATCGCTTTTAATCATCCATTTTCAAGCCCAGCCAGTGTTGCTCAGTGTTTGAACCTCAACCCAAACCCCAAGAGGTCACCGGTTTGATTCCCGGTCAGGGCACATGCCTGGAGTGCAGACTCTATCCCAGCGGTTCTCAACCTGTGCCTCGCGACCCCTTTGGGAGTCGAACGACCCTTTCTAAGGAGAGAAAACATCTAATCGCTTTTAATCATCCATTTTCAAGCCCAGCCAGTGTTGCTCAGTGTTTGAACCTCAACCCAAACCCCAAGAGGTCACCGGTTTGATTCCCGGTCAGGGCACATGCCTGGAGTGCAGACTCTATCCCAGCGGTTCTCAACCTGTGCCTCGCGACCCCTTTGGGAGTCGAACGACCCTTTCACAGGGGTCGCCTAATACCATCGGAAAACCATTTTAATAATCCACTTTCAGTAAAAAACAAAATAAAATTTCATTTAACTATTCTTCAGCTGATTGGTTTCTCTCTCATTGATGTTTCTAACTCTCCTTTTCCCTTCCTCTCTCTAAAAATAAATAAAAACATTTTAGAAAACATTTTAATCATACATTTTCAGTAAAAAGCAAAATTTCATTGAACTATTTTTCCCATATAAGAGCTACACATATGCCAAGAGCTGATTAAGTGATTTAATCAAAATGTAAAACAAAATATGGGATTGCTTCAGAGTGTAACAATATCTACTGTTATGCTTGTGTAAGGCAATTAAAAATTTGGCATTTTTTGCCCTACTTTCTTTTTTAGTGTAATGTGGATTTTATAGTCATGTTGGCAATGGCATGACCTGTACTGTTTTTGCTCTGCAAATTCAACGAAGAATAATGCCACTGTAATTTTTGTTCTCTTCTCTACCAGTCATGAAAAAAATCATAACTTTCACACTGGAAAGCATTAACTAGCAAATATTTCTCAAAACTCAATTAATGTAACCACAAAAATTTTAAGCATTATTTGAATAAGAAACCAAAACTTTTCATGCCAGCATAGCAGTCAATACTCAAGAGACAAAGAATGAAAGGATTCTTGGATCAATAAAATTTAATTTTCAGATATTCTCCATTGTAATTTTCAGATGATTCATCATACTTCCTACTTGCACTTTTCTTTTTTTATTTTTAAATTTTCATTGAATTTATTGGGGTAACATTGTTTAATAAAGTTATATAGGTTTCAAAATACAGTTTTAAAATAAATGATAGGAAACCTTCCAAGAGTTTTGACCAGACTTGATTAGATTTTAAAAGGTCTCTGATGCCCAGCCGACGTGGCTTGATGGTTGAGTGTTGATTTAGGAACCAGGAGATCATGAGGCCATGGTTCGATTCCCAGTCAGAGCACATGCCTGGGTTGAGGGCTCAATCCCCAGTTGGGGTGTGCAAGAGGCAGCCAATCAATAATTTTCTCTCATCATTGATGTAACCACATTGGGTAGGCTGCAGTTTAAATCTTAGTGAGAGAGGTATTGTATGTCTCTACCTTAGTCACCTGGATTGTTCACACCTAGTGACTACACATAGTTAGCATTGTTGCAGTAAAATAATGTACATTGACCTGACCAAGTGGCTTGTTGGCTGAAGCATCGTCCTGTATACCAGAAGGTTGCAGGGTTAATTCCTGGTCAGGGCACATACCTAAGTTGAGGGTATGATCACCTATCAGAGCACATAGAGGAGGCAGCCAATCTCTCTCTCTCTCTTTCTCTCTCTCTCTCTCTCTCTCTCTCTCTCTCTTTCTCTCTCTCTCTCTCTTTCTTCTCTCTCTCTCTCCCTCTCTCTTCTTTCCTCTCTTAAAATCACTGAAAACATTGAGTTAGGATTAAAAAATAATTAATTAATTATTTTTAAAAAATCTTTTTAAATGTGCATTAGCCAAAGCAGAGTTGCAAAAAGGGAGGTGTATGACCTCTGCTACAGCAAACTCTCCAGGTAATCATTGGGTTCAACTCCTTGGAGAAGATGATGTAAGGTAATTCATTATTAGGGACTTCTACCAAGGCATATATACTGGATTTATGGACTTTAGGTTCTAATTAAGAAATTATCACTTAGTACATGATGGGGAAGGGGTGATAGGTTTACTGAATATTATTTCATTTAAAAAGCAATATAGCATATATCTCTCAAGTGAACTTTCTTGTAAACAATTAAATTCATTAATTGACAAGTCAATTCTACCACAAGTCAATACACTATTCAAATGATCATTATAACACTTTTTTTTTTCAGTTTAGGAATCCTAAAACCATTAGCCAGGAGAGCATTACAAAGATTTGTTAGAAGGGCATGTCAGCCTATTCAGAGATTTTCCATTATTGCACTAGATCAGCAATTTTCAACTCATGTGTCACAACAATGTTTAAAATGCAATACCTGACTATTTAGTCAGGAGCACTGCCTCTTTTCTCTTAATTGTCAAATACAAAAATGACAATAGCCAACACAATAATAGCCATCTGGTATGAATGCCCTGACTTGCATGGTAAATTATAGGTCATATAATAAAGTTGCATCTTATGGTCTCCTCTCATAATAAAGTTGTGTCTGACTGGTTAATTCTTGGGATCAGAAATTCTTATATACAAGTATAGGCACCTGATTTTTTTAAAAAAGTAACTTTGGGCCCTAGCCGTTTTGGCTCAGTGGGTAGAGTGTTGGCCTGCGGACTAAAGGGTCCCAGGTTTGATTCTGGTCAAGGGCACATGCCTCTCTCTCTCCCTCTCCTTCCCTCTCTGAATTCAATAAAAATATATTTTAAAAATAAATAAATAAAATAAAAGTAACTTTAGAACAAAAAGAGTAGATAATTACTATTATTTTTTTAATAAATACATCAAAATTATACGTATTTTTGTTAGATTGGCAAAACATATATATTTTGGAGTGCCACAGAATTTTAGTAATTAGCTTATACTAGTATATGCCATGAGATGTAAAAGGTTGACAGTCCCTACCCTAGCAATATTTGGATAACTATCACTTTAGTCAGTAGGCAATTACTCTTTCAGATTTGCCTGTAAAGGACTTAGTTGAATGTTCTTTAAAGAAAATCTCAGCCCTCATTAATTATGACTATTTCTAACTGAATTTCCAGATGACTTCATGTGACCACTAAATAGTTTACATGTAATAGCCTGCGAAGGTAGTCACTTTATTGGTACCATAAGATAAACTTTGGGTTTTATATGACCATATAAATCCTGACTGAATCTAAATAAAGAATTTAGCAGACTAAATTATATTTTACCATCTGTCCAAGGAGCTAAAAATGGGAGGCAAAGGTATAGTTCTGATCTTAATTATTTCAATTGTTTGTGTGGAAAAGATATGTTTTCCATTCAGAACACATATGCCTGAACATAGTTATTAGAATCTTAGTGTCATACCTCTCGAATAGCAGTACAGAACTCACTCTGAAGCACTTTCTTAAGGGATTGTAGCTTGTGCACTGGGACTTCTCCAGATTCCTGTAGTTTTTCCAGTAATTCAATGGCTCTGGCAACATCTGAGTTAAAAAAAAAAAATCAAGTGAAAAGATCTAGAGTAACTACATCTCATCAGCAAAGGATCATCATTCCCACTGAATAGTGACGGTGAAAATTAAGTGGAATTAACTGCAAAATCAGAATTTACAATTCATAGCTTATTGATCTAATCTTTTGATTAAAAAGTCATTTAAATCTGTTCCACACAATTTGTAACTGAATACATCTTCTTTGATGTCATTTCATGTATAATATTTGTCACACAAATCAGTTTGAATATTCTTTCAGAAAAAGAGCAGGAAACATGCTTTCTATTTATTCTGACACCCCGATAACCAAATGAGTCCTGTCAATTTTCTTTCTGAGATGGTTTCTCAGTTTGATTTTTCCTTAACCACACCACATTTATCACATCTGCAGTTTCACCTTTATTAGTATAACTAGAGGCCCAGTGCACGAATTCGTGTATGGGTTGGGTCCTGCCAGCCCAGCCCCAATCAGGGATGATTGGGGCTGGGCCTGTCAGGAGGAGGAGACAGTGGGAGGTTGGCCAGCTTCCCCCTTATTGGAGCCCGATCAGGGCAGACTGGCTGGGGGTAGGGATGGAAGGCAATTGGCTGGGGGGCTGATTGGGGGTGGAGCTGGCTGTGGGGAGGGACTGTGGGCAGTGGGACAGCTGACCCTGTCCCCAAATGAGGTGGGGGGGACCAATCAGGGGTCAGCAGCCAGGGGAGGAGCCGTGGAAGGTTGGCTGGCTAGCCCCACCCCCAATTGGTGTGGGGGGGCTGATTGGGGGCAGAGCTGGCTGGGGGGAGGGGTCACAGGTCAATAGGGGTTGTGGGGGCTGATCAGGAGTGGGGCTGGCCATGAGGAGGGGCTGTGGGTGGTGGGCTGGTAGGCCCCACCCCCGAATGATTTGGGGGGCCGATCTGGGGTCAGTGGCCGGGGGAGGAACCGGGGGAGGTTGGTCAGCCAGCCCCACCCCGATTGGTGTGTGTGTGTGTGTGGGGGGAATCGGGAGCAGAACTGGCTGGGGGAAGGGGCTGATCGGGAGTGGGGACAGCTGGGGGGAGGGGCGGCAGGCAGTTGGCTAGCTGGCCTTCCCCCTTCCCCAGCCCCCTGCAACTCCCAATCGAGCTGGTTCACTGGCCACAGTGGGTCATAGCAACCAGTTATTCCGGTCTTTGTGGTGTTCTGGTTGCTGGCTTTTTATATACTAGTACATAGGTGATTTGATTAATGCACATCTCTTAAACTTGTCTCTAAACTTCTAGAGGGTAGGAATTTATCTGGTTTGGTCATCACTGCATCCCCAGAGTCTAGTACAATTCAGTGAATACATATTTGATAATGAATGAATTAGTTAATGGCCTCTCTCCATTTGACTGCCATTGCATTATTCCAGGCCCTCACCATCATCTCTCTTCTGTCCAACTGGAATCATTTTTTTCTCCTCCAGCCTCTTATGGTTCAGAAAGTGATCTTCCTAAAATAAAAATCTGATCATGTACCCACTACCAGCTTTTAGGACAGTACCAAGCAAAAGAGTTTTTAATAACAATTAATTTAAAT